ATTATAATTTTTTTTTTTGAAAATAAGCTAATGTAATATAAAATTTTAACCAATTAAAGTTTATAAGTTATAAATTATTATGTATCAAAAATTTCAATTTTTTAAAAAATGTCTCAGAACCCCATTTTCCTAGCAAACTTCCCATATATTTATTTGTGCTTAATTTTTTTTCTTTATAATATTATATATTTGCAAAATTTTTTTTTATATATGGAAGGTAATCAGTAGAAAAAAGAGAAATCTAAATTTTGGTCAAAATTTATATTATTAGATCATTTGGCTAATCTTGATTATGTGTACAAATTTGGCTTAATAATAAAAATTAACAAAAATTTTGGATTTCCCCTTTTATACTGACAGCCTTCTATATATATATTTGTAATCTTTTTTTCATTTTTTTTCATTTTTATATATTTGCGAACTCTTTTCTTTTTTTACAAACAATTTTTTCTTTTTTTTTTCTTTTTTTTATATATATATTTACAAACATTTTTTATCTTTTTTCTATATATATATATATTTGAGATTAATTTTTTTTCTTTTTTTTTATGTATATATTGTATATATTTGTAATTTTTTTTTTTTATATTTGCAAACTTTTTTATTTTTTTTATTTTTTTATATATATATATAAACAATTTTCTTATTTTGTTTTTTTTTAATATTTTTTTTTTATATTAAACAAATTTTATCTTATTTATAATAAATTTTGCAAACATTTTTTATTATTATTCTTATTATTATTTAATATATATTGCAAAAATTTAATTATTTTTTATTTTTATATTACAAACAATAAATATAATTAATTTTAATTTCTAATACTGTAAAGCACTGCACAAGATACCCCGGGTATAAATCAATTTTCTAATTTAAAAATTGATTTATACCCGTAGGTATCTTGTGAAGAGCCGGGTATAATAAGCGGTAGGGTATTTTAATAGGGGTGTATTATATTGGAGTCATATATTGTAAAGGAGTACAAAGTACAAACTAATTTTATATAGTTTATACTGATAACTGACACAGCATACAGGGCGTATATTAAGAGGTATTAGTACAAACTAAACTTATATAGTCTATACTGACAACTTACATAGTAACAATATACAATATATTTTAAATATAATAAATAAAGCATACATTCAGTGTTTCGCAATTATCCTTTTTACTTTCTTTTGTCCAAAAAAAATTTTCCTCCATTTATTTTACATAATTTAACATTCATTTTTTTTAAGAATTTTATCCTTTTCTTTACAAAAATTGCATTTATACTATCTTAATAAGTAATTAATAGAGTGGCAACTTAATTTAGTTTGGTAAGATTTTTTGCCTTTTATTATAGAAAATTGCATTTATTAACCAATATGATAATTTTAAAGCTGCGATATAGATGTTTTATAATGTGTAGCGTTGCTACATATTTTTCATATTTTTCTTTACATCTTTGGGGGTTTTGTTTCTTCATTTTTTGTTTCATTTTTTTTACCTAATAATAAACTTAAAAAAAATGGTGTGTGAAAATTTTAAGGCTAAACGTGCGAGAGTTTCAGAAAAAAAGAAAAGGCAATGGTCTGCAAGGGAAAAGTTAATGATAATAACTTACCATGAAAAAGGTCATAATAAAAGGTCAACTGCAGATAAGTTTGGAATAGAACTAAAACAGCTTCGTGATTGAATTAATAATAAGGATAAGCTTATTAGCGTAGCCCCTTATGTTTAAAAGTTAAATATAGGTGCACGTCCAAAATTCCTACACATTGAAGATGAGCTTATAGAATGGTTCACTAAAGCTAGAGGTCAATTAAAAACAGTAACTCGATATATGATTCAAATAAAAACACGTTCATTGACAAAAAAATATCATACCAATTGGAATATCCTAATGTAAGAAATGCCAAATTTTCACGAAAATGGGTTGACAGTTTCATGTCTCGGCATAATTTATCAAATAGAAGAAAAACCACAATTGCACAACGTCTTCCTGAGGATTATGCAGAGAAACAATCAGAATTTTTATCTTATGTCATGTATTTGAGAAAAGAGAACCAATATCCATTATCCCTTATCGGAAATATGGACGAAACGCCAATGTCATTCAATCTTCCAAGTAATATAACTGTGGAACAATTTGATTCTAAAACTGTATCAATTTTATCAACTGGTCATGAAAGATCAAATTTTACCGTTGTGTTAGCTTGTTTGGCTGACGGAACAAAGTTACCTCCAGTTATTATTTTTAAACTCAAAAAAATTCCCTATGAAGAATTTTCTGAAGGTGTAGTAATTCGTGCAAATTCACAAGGATGGATGAACAAAGAAGAAATGATATGGTGGATCGAAAATATTTGGTCAAAACGTTCACAAAGAGGTAGCAATCTAAGGTCTCTCTTGGTATTAGATTCATTTTCCGCTCACAAAACTGAAGTTGTAAAGAAACGGCTTTGTGAAAAAAAAACTAACATAGCAATCATTCCGGGCGGACTAACTTCCAAATTACAACCACTTGATGTTTCCTTGAATAAACCTTTTAAAGCAAAGGTTAGAAATCAATATAA